CATATAAAGTTTGGATTCTGAAGGCAATAACAAAGACTTGGAACCTCTTTCACAAAAAGTTTCTTGGACTCTGGGATGAGCACAAGGATGGTCCTGGTGAGGCATATCTTCCTGAAATATACAACAATACTGATCTTCGACAACTGGTGCAGCAGAAATACATGAAAGAACTCTTTGATGACACTCTTGGATTTGATGCTGCTAATATGATAAGGTGATTGGTGAATTCTTATTTTTATTCTTTGTTGTTAGGATCGGGAACTCGGGTAGTGCGAGATTTAGCCAAACAACGTTATAATGACAATAACAAAGACAATGCAAGTTGATAATAACGGTAATTAAAGTAGATAAAGAAGACATCAATTTAACGTGGTTCAGTCAGTATAACCTACGTCCACAAGCGGAGAAGAGCAATTTCACTATATCAATAAGAGTACAAAATTAGAGTAAACACTTTAATTAATCCCAAATACCCTAAGAGAATAACCTCACAAGATCACTCTAAAGAAAGGGTTCACACAAGTGCTTCCCAACACTAACTCTCATACAAAAACACTCTTAATAAAGGAGGAAAGAAAGAAACAAGAAATGAAGACTCCAGTCTTGTTTGTGTGTTTAAAATGAACTAATGGTCTTCCCTTTTATAGGCAAAAAATTTTTGGCCTCTTAGGCGTAAAAGAAGAGATACAACTTGTGCAAATGATGTCCACCACAAAATGCAATATTTTTGGGTCCCAAAGAATATTGCCAACAAAGTCTACACTTTGCAAAGATACTTATGCTTATGTGAGATGGACTCCATTAGCCAAAATATAAGCCATATTACAAGTCTCCACCTTGGCCTAATTTTGGCTGATATAGTAAATTTGCTCCACCCTCTCCGCAAAAAGCCCCAATGGGCATATGTCAAAATTTAATGCCATCAAAATCAGACAAGTTGTCTGATACCGAAACTATAGTAGGGCCTATAATAGTGGATCCTAATAAAGTATACAACGAACTAGATATGTGTGCTTTCATGATCACAAGAGCACCTTGAAAATTTTTCAAAACTCTACCTTCACAAGTGAATTTGCACCCAAAGGATTCTAAAGTGCCCAAAGATATGAGATTTTTCTTCAACTCAGGAAAATATCTAACATAGGTGAGAGTTCTCACCACACCATCGTGCATTCTGATCAGAATTGTACCTTTTCCAATAACGTTATAAGTAACATTGTTACCCAATTGGACAACTCCACCTGCAACTAAATCATATGTAGAAAATAAGTCATTGCTAGGACATATATGATATGAATAACCGGAATCTAAAATCCACCCATTGTCTAATCTGAAACTAGTTTTAGTTGCTAAAAATATAGTTCCCTCAATCTCATCAGTTGCTACACTAGCTTCGGCGGTGTTAGTATTTTTGTGCTCATTTTTTCTTTCTTTATGCTTTTCTTTATTTTTCAATTTATAGCATTCACAGATAATGTGACATTTCTTATGACAATAACGACACTCTAAATTATTGTATCTGGATATGGAGTCGGATTTGCCCCTAACAAACAAGCCAACTTCCGCTTGAGTTCTACTAGCTTCCCCAGTAATATTACTATCTATCCGTTCTTTTGATTTTAAGATATATTTAATATCCTTATAAGAGATATTATCCTTTGCATAAAGTATCGTATCTCTTATATGCTTAAAAGATGGGGGTAGAGAACAAAGTAATAACACAGCTTGATCCCCATCTTTAATTTCAACATCTATAATACTCAAATCCATAAGAATGAAATCAAAGGTGTCAAGATGAGAGAGAATAGATGTACCTTCACCCATACGAATTGTATAAAGCTTCTGCTTCAGGTAAAGTCTATTTTTCACCGTCCTCTTCATATATAAGGTTTTTAATTTTTCCCACATGCCTTTGGCTGTGGTTTCCACAAAAATTTTACGTAAAACCTCATTTGAGAGATTCAAAATAATACGTGCTTTTGCATTTTTGTCTATGATGGCAAACTCCTCATCCGTTATTTTATCCGGCTTCTTCTCCTTTCCTTGCAACGCCAAATCTAAGCCATCCTGAATTAGGATAACTTCAATCTTTAATTGCCACATTCCGAAGTTTGCACTTCGATCAAATTTCTCAACAAAAGTCTTTGTCAAAGTCATATTGGCTACTACTGAAACAAACCCGGTTAGATCCGACTCTGATACCAATTTGTTAGGATCGGGAACTTGGGTAGTGTGGGATTTAGCCAAACAACGTTATAATGACAATAACAAAGACAATGCAGGTTGATAATAACGGTAATTAAAGTAGATAAAGAAGACACCAATTTAACGTGGTTCGGTCAGTGTAACCTACGTCCACAAGCGGAGAGGAGCAATTTTACTATACCAATAAGAGTACAAAAGAGAGTACAAAATTAGAGTAAACACTCTAATTAATCCCAAATACCCTGAGAGAATAACCTCACAAGATCACTCTAAAGAAAGGGTTCACACAAGTGCTTTCCAACACTAACTCTCATACAAAAATACTCTTAATAAAGGAGGAAAGGAAGAAACAAGAAATGAAGAATCAAGTCTTGTTGGTGTGTCTAAAATGAACTAATGGCCTTCCCTTTTATAAGCAAATTTTTTTTGGCCTCTTAGGTGTAAAAGAAAAAATACAACTTGTGCAAATGATGTCCACCACAAAATGCAATATTTTTGGGTCTAAAGAATATTGCCAACAAAGTCTACACTTTACAAAGATACTTATACTTATGTGATTATGTGAGATGGACTCCATTAGCCAAAATACATGCCATAATACATTTGTTATATCCATTCTCTCTTTCTACTGTTTTTCTTTTGATTCAACAACCCCTTGCATAGGGAAACAAAGCAAGTACATTTGGTAACTCAGAAGGCACAAAGATGCTCAATGAACAGCAATATTTGTGTGCGCGTGTGAATGTATCTATACTCACATATAGGTGGACAAGATGCAATGTTTTTTTAATCCCGGGAAAAAAATACTGATTCTGTAGAGGTGGAGTCAAGATTGAAGCTTGTGGGTTCGAGATTTTAGATTTTTTAAGTTATTGGGTTCTTAATTAATAACTTGAACATATTCAATGAATTTCTTAATACAAATACATAGTTTAAACCAAAACTACTTATTTCGGCCGAAGCCATAGCTTCTACTCTCCCTCCGCCTCTGGATTCATGCCAATCAACTAAGCCTTGTTCCAGAATTCAAGAGCAATGTTCTTACTAAACCCAAGAGAGTTCTGTAGTCTTGGTGCATGAGATTGAAACTCTTATTTTCTTAATAATACACAGGAGAATTAGCTCATCTAGAAGATTTTGAATCAATCAAGGATGCTGCCAAACGAGCTGATTGTGAACGACGAGCGCTTAACTGTGCAAAGAAGCTTCGGAAAGAAAGACAAAACTTCAAGAGCATTGATGAAGTTGTTTCCACAATTGAGAAAGTTCATTTGCAGTAATGTCAAGGTAAAATGGATGATGTAACATGTTGGCCTTTTGACTAAAAGTTAACGTGTTTGCTTTTGACTAAGCATTTTGGAGTCTATTAGGGATACGTAATGCATATTGATCAGAAATAATCCCCTTTTATTTACTGCAAGTGGCAATGCTTAGCTTACGGGACAATTGTACTATGTTGGATCTGTTCTTTCAGTTCCTTTAGGGGTTAAACTATCTAGATAAAAATATGGTGAGTTTTTCTTTGGTTCACTATTGGCGAAGGAAAATTATATTTCCGGTTTACTTCTGCACCAACTTCATATTTTTCACATTTTGTTCTCTTGAGTTGATCCTGGACACTCCAGCAACCGTGACCTGCTTTATGGTGACATTCTTCTACTTATTTGCTATGGATATCTGATTTCTTCACAGATGGTACATACTATTCCTAGAATGCTTTGCTCTCTTGCTGGAGAATAGTAGTATGTAATCAGAGTGGTGCCTTGGAACCATTGCAGCACAACGTGCAACATAGGGCTTACATAGGGCTTTGTGGCCTCTACTGGAATTCAAAGTCCTATAATCTTTTGAAGTTTGAATAAAATTAGCTGCAGAAGTAACTAAAGAAAAGAATTAAAGTTGCTTATAGTATTAGGATTTACATAACTATACTGCAGTCGTATATTGCTAAATTTCTAAATTTAACGAATTGTCATAAAAAAAACGTTAATAACTACAGGATTGTTAATTAGAGTGAGAGAGTTAATTTTTATTGGCCGCCTTTCGATTTCGATTAGATAAGCTATTAAAAATCTTTATCTCGTCGGGAGGAGGTGTAGTAATTAACCAGGGATTACAATTCCTACAGAAAGGGCGACCAAAATGCCCATACTTAGAAATTACTACAATTGTACGACTCATCTACGTCTTACAATTTTTGTTATACTCTTAACTCTAATTTTTTAGAATTCAACGTTCGACGTAAGAGAAAAAAAGAACTTATTCCAATTCGAAAAAGCTAATCCCTGACTTCTTAGTTTACTTACAAACATTTGGCATCCAAAACTTTTAGGCACGCTAATGTATCAGACATATATAACAATCTTTTATAGACATCTAAAGAGACGATAGAAGAGGAAATAGTTTGATAAATACATGAAAGTGGCTTCATAATTATATTACGAATAAACTATCCTCGCATACGGCATAGCTACTGTATTCTATCGCATGCAGCATGTTTTGAATAACCAATTTCTTTTAAAGATTCTAGTGACACACTAGTTGGGTTTACCTAAAAAGTAAGATTGATAATTATGTTTTTCACATATATTGAACTCTTATTTTATTTGGTGAGCATAGTATTGCTTATACTAATTAGTGATACGATGGTCTTAGGTTCGAGCCCTCGAAATTAAAAATTTAATAGAGAGCGTTTTTCCCTTTTATGATCTCTATAAAAATTAGGAGGGAAATCTGGATTAGTCAAATTAGTAAATTTCGAATACTAGATGGTTTTAAGAAAAAACATCGTCACCTCAGTATAATTGTACTTTTAGTTTTATCATTCAAGAAGACCATGGCACACAGCCTTTTATTGGTAAAAGTAGAACTTTAATTTTATCATTCAAGAAGACCATGGTACACATAGCCTTTTATTGGTAAAAGTAGATGATGTTTCTAATTTTGGGTCTAATTAGACAACTCACTCGCTCGCTGTGCGGAATTTAGCTTTGTAATCCCTCCAAAGTTGATCAACTGTCTTCCCCAGCAGGTCAACAAAGAACTGATTACTATAGCCATTTCTCATCTTTTTGTTAAGTTGTGCCACGAACCCATTTCTCAGGCTGTTGCAGTAATCAAGAAATCGAGCAGTCACGCCGTAGCCCTGGTCCCAGCGGTCGCCCTGGCCTGGTTTCACCCAGTGGCTAGGTGCAAGACCAGCTTTGAGCCTCACATAATCAGCAATCCCTACGATTAATCCACTAGGTGCCCCACCATTCCCATTCCACTGCCAAACGTGGGTGCTCTCGTGCAATAATACTCCGGCGATCTCTCTCTTGACGTTACCAGAGTAGCTTTGAATGTACCTACAAAACACAAATTTAAAGGCATCACTTAATATATGCATAATATGCATTTTGAGTTCGAGACTATATATACGTGCACCCACTGCTTATTTACTGAATGAATTTATTGCATACCTGGCACTGACATGAATCTCATTATTGCTAGTGTAAGCTACTCCGCCCATGTCATCGACGAACATACTTACCTTTTGCACATTTTTGCGGTCAGCTGGAGAGTTCTGCTGGAAGATTTTCCATATGAAAGAAGCAGCAGCTGCGAGTGTTTGCTTGCTATATTGGGCACCGATATCTCGGTTGAAACGGACACCGCCGGGGGTGTTTGCGGCCCTGTTAGTACCGGCGTAATCTACTTCAAGGAAGGAAATTATGTTAGCCATGTTTTGCTCCAAAGATAGAAGTGATATATACGCTCTCTAAGAAGACAATCACTTATATATCTAGTTTTATCAAATACTTTTAAATAGTGATGCTGGACTAAGTCAGTTGAGTATTGCCAAAAAAAAAAAGGAAATAAAGAAAGAGACCACGTCAGTTGAGTGTGATAAGAGGTTTTCCTTCATTATCCCATTTAATTTCTTCCCTGCAGTTTTAGCAACTTTTTCTTTGAAACTTTGTTTTATGAAAGATCACATTTGCAAATTATTTTTGTTTTTCGATAAGATGTTAATACAAGATAGATATAAGTTCTTATTATAAAAACTGGGAATATGTGAATAGGTGAATTACAGTTTTTATTTTTTTAAAATTTATTATTCGTCTGTAAAGTTTTTCACACACCTATCAAAGAACTCATGTGAATTCTAAATTTTATTTTTTAATTTATTCGTCCGGCAAGTTTTTCACACGTCCATCAAAGAAATCATTTAATAATGCTAATAATAAAAGTTATTTGATTTAGACCGTTATCATTCCTCAATATGAGTAATAAATTTTAATGGACCTTTTGAATATAAAATAGATCATTTATTTGGAAAGAGTGTAAATTCGAAAAAGCAATTAATGTTTTCTTGATTTCTAAAGTGACACTTATTTTAGTCAAATTTGTTTGGCTAAAATGACATTATAAGGGCCGAAGAGAGTAAGCTACTAATCCCTTCGATACACAATAAATGATTTTTTTGGTTGTTTTCAAATCTACCTTTTAACATTAATTAGGAATAAAATTGACATATTAACCTTTACTATCTCTTCATATAAACATTCCTAACACATACTCCAACACTATTTACTCCAAGGGCAATACAAGGAAAAAAATAATTAATTCATTCTTGAAATCTGGAAAAATCACTTATTTTGGACCACAAGAAAAAAAACCAAAAAATCACTTATTGTGGATCACAGGGAGTATGAAAAGAAAGAAGAGCTTTGCTTCAGGCTCTTGTAAACATATAGGCATAAAATTTGACCTTGAACGTCCAGAGAATATGTCAATGTCTTTAATTTTAAAAATGATGTTGCTAGAAGCCGCCGAGTAAGATTAATGAAAAATTCCAACTAGTTTTATTATAGTCGGTCAAGTCAGGCTTTCATGCCGTGAGAATGTAACTGCTACTATGCCGTGAGAGGAAGGGAAAAGGTGGTGCTACAGAATTCAATGGTATTGCTATTAGTGTCGGTGGGTTGGGTGGCTAATATATACCACTACTGTTCTGAAATATTAATTTGGCATAACGTGTGGTGGCTGATTAGTTATCTCCAGTAGACAGATAATTAAGGACATGTTTTTGTATTATTATTTTTTTTGCATGAAAAAAAAGAAGTTAAAAAGACAGTAATCCTCAATGTTGCTATTGATAGGAGTACTTAAATATACATAATTTTGACACTACTTGATTACTCAAAAATCAATTAGATATAATAATCTATTACACACCCTTCTTGAAAAATGCAGTTACTCAAATGGTTATATTATTATAGCTTCTCATTTCAGGATCAGGTCTTATAACTCATTTCACCTGAATTTAACACGGGTTTGGGGTTGCGGTATCAACTCATCAGCGCGTCAATAATACAGATTGAGATTTGCTATAAAACACTATTTAAACAAGTTTAAGAAAGTAAAGAATTAAGTGCTACTAACGTCTTATAAATTAAAATTGAGATATGGGTCTTGTTGGTAGAATGTAACGACCCGACCGATCGTTTTGGGCATTTACGTTCCTTTTTACTATTTGAAGTCTCACTACTAAAAAAGGGACCATTTCCGACTAAAATATTCCGACCGAAAAAAGCAATCGAAAATTTCTGACAGAATCGGTTGGAAATGGCATAAAAATATATTTTTCAATTTTTATTAATGTTTACGGTGGATATTCCGTCTACATCTGTCGCAAATTTTGACGGAAAATACCACAAAGGCATTTGCGACCGATTCGGTCGGAAAAATTAAAAATAAAATAAAAACATAAAAAACGATTGCGATCGAATCTCATTTGCGACCGATTCGGTCGAAAAAATTTAAAAAAATTAAAAAGTTGCGACCGATTCGTTCGGAAAAATAAAAAAATAAAAAAGTTGTGACCGATTTGGTCGCAAAAATTTATTAAAACGAGGTCTGACTTCGTTGACCTCATTTGCGACCAAATCAGTCGAATTTTTTTTTTTTTTAAATTTCCGACCTATTCAGTCGGAAATAGTTTTTAAACCCCCTCGACCCCTTTCTTTTTTCTTTATCTCTTTTCTTCCTTTTCTCTTTTCTTTCTCTCCTCGCTGAAACCCCCTCCCCCAAGCATCAAGATGCTCCAGCGACAACCCTCTTTCTCCGGCGACACCTCTCTCTCTCTCTCCCCTCTCGCGATTAGTTTTCCCATCTCCCTCGATTTTTTCTTCTTTGTTTCCATTTTTTGCTAAGCTTCATAGAGAAAAACACATTGTTTGCTGAAATTGGTGTTTGTAATTTTCGTTTTTTCACAGTATCTTTGTTATCAAAACTCGAAAAGCCACAAAAAATTAATAGTGGAACAAGTTTGGGATGAATTACTAAGAAAGAAAGAGTAAATTAGTATGCACTTTTTGATTTTTTTTGTGCAACTAATTGTTATTCTTATTATTATGCTTTTATTACACTTTTCATATTAATTTGGTAGTTGAATCTAGGTTTTAGATTGTTGTCGAAGAATTTGATTGAATCTAGGTTTGAGATTGTTGGCTGTTTTATTTGGCAGATGGTATAGTTAAAAATATAATAGAATTCTGCTAATTCTTTTTTTCAGATCTGGAGCGGATTTGCGACTGAATCAGTCGCAAAAATTTTCTCGATTTGCGACCGAATCGATCTCAAATTATGAATTTTTGATTTTTTTAAATTTATTTATTCTCAAATTTTATGACCGATTCTGTTGGAAATTTAAATTATATATTTATTTTATTATTTAAATTTGCGACCGAATCGGTCGAAAATTTACCAACCAATTCAGCCGCAAATCTCTTATATTTAAGCGCGTCCTTATTTTTCAATTTGCGACCATGTGTTTTCCGAGCAACCTTTTTCTGTCGGTTATCCGTCGGAAAAAACTCAATTTCCGACGGTCGGAAATTTGCCATTTTCTAGTAGTGTCTTGAATAGTTTCATATGATATATTATGACTTGTGTGAATTGTCGGTTTTGATTTTTCAGGTATTTCAAAGTTGGTTTGGAAGAATGAAATTCAAGGTTTAAAGTTTAAGTTGAAAGGTTGACCGGATGTTGGCTTATGTGTAAACGACTCCAGAATCTAGTTTTGATGATTTCAATAGCTCCGTATGGTGATTTTGGACTTAGGAGCGTATTCGGAAAAATTATTTGAAAGCCCGTAACTAAATTAGGTTTGAAATGGCTAAAATAGAAATTTAAGTTTAGAGGGTTGACTGAGGAGTTAACTTTCTAATATCGGGGTCGGAATCCGATTCTGAAAATTGGAATAGGTATGTTATATCATTTATGACTTGTGTGCAAAATTTGAAGTCATTCCGGACCGATTTGATGTGTTTCGGCACAAGATATATAATTTGGAAGTTTTAAAAATTTATAAGTTCGATTCGAGGTACAATTTATAATTTCGATGTTGTTATGTGTAATTTGACACCTCGAGTAGGTCCGTGCGATGTTACAGAACTTGTTGGTATATTCGGGCGGGGTCCCTAGTGGCTCGGATGAGTTTCGGACGGGGTTTGGATCGATTTGGAATTTTTGGAACCTACTGGAATTTTGGGTTGCTGATGCAACCGCTTCTGCGGAAGTTTGGTCGCAGAAGCGACTCCACAGAAGCGAGCAACCATACGCAGAAGCGGACTGGGCATTGTTGGTCACGAGCCGCAGATGCGGAGGGAATTGCGCAGATACGGGACCGCAGATGCGGTGATGCTGATCGCAGACGCGAGAGGAGCGCATATGCGGACCCTTGGCTCACACCTACGATTGCACAGAAGCGAAAGAAGTTACGCAGGTGCGAGGGCTAGCTGTTGAGTGTGAAACCGCAGATGCGAGAATTTAGTCGCACAAGCGACGCCGCAAAAATGACCCTTGGTTCGCAAAAGCGATGTCACGACCCGAAATTTCCATCTTCGGACCGTAATGACGTCTAACATTTCACTTGTTAGGCAAGCCAACGTTAGAATAATATTATCAATTTTTAAAATAATTTTTTAAATTTATTAATAACAAAGAACAAATGCGGAAGTAAAGTCTAAAATGTAGTGAATAATCCATAAAAATAACGGTGTCTAAATAACATCCCAGAATTGGTGTCACCAGTGCACGTGCTTCTAGAATAATACAAATAAGGGTCTGAATAAAATAAAGTTATATGAAAATAAACACACAACTAAAGTAAAGTAGACGGGGACTTCAGAACTGCGGACGTCGTGCAGTTATACCTCAAGTTTCCTCTGAGTAGTTGAAATCCGATAAAGTCTATGGTACGCCGCTGGGACCAAGTCCGAAATCTGCACGAAAAGTGCAGAGTGTAGTATCAGTACAACCGACCCCATGTACTGGTAAGTGCTGAGCCTAACCTCGACGAAGTAGTGACGAGACTAAAGCGGGTCACTTTCATTAACATGTACGCAATAGTAGTAACAACATCAATTAATAGAAATAAATCAGGTAACTCATTTATAATAATTGAAGCCAACTCAGCAGTCATAATCTATTATTATTTTAACCAATTTCCGTTATAGCGTGCAAACTGTTTCCACAATATATTCATTTTCAATCCTCTCATATAATTATTTTAATCAAGTATATATTGACTTTTAAATAAGTCTATTGCGGCGTGCAATCCGACCTCCCAATATTGACTTTTAAATAAGTCTATTGCGGCGTGCAATCTGATCCCCCAATATTGACTTTTAAATAAGTCTATTGCGGCGTGCAATCCGATCCCCCAAATATTGACTTTTAAATAAGTCTGTTGCGGCGTGCAACCCGATCCTCCAATATGTT